TTTTTTTTTGAAAAAAAGACTGTGTTACAATTTTCTGACCGTTCTTAAACAACAGTTTAAAGTTCCTGAGATATCCTTTCAAAATAGATATTGGATACTGACTTGAGTTTAGGACAATTTATGTTTCAAAATTATTTGTAACATTACCAGTAATATTAGGAGAGATTTTTTGAACTTGGTAAACTTTTATTTATGCCTTTATTGCAGCAAAAAATAAAGCTGAAAAACGGTCAGAGTATAGAATTTTTGCTAAATGACAGTTAAACAAATATCTTTATGTAACTCTTGAGAAAATCATCTCAAGAACTACAGGTTATGCAATGCTATAAATTCGGTTTAAAAGTTTTTCACCAATTTAGTGCATTAAAAAGATGTTGAACTTTTTGTTCAAAATGTTCAAATTTTTTGATTGATCATTGTTTTGTAAAAAAGAAATTGATCTACTCAAAAAGCCGTTTTTTTCAACGAATTGACCATCTGATGTGTAAACGCTGAAGTACTTTTTTTTGTGGCTATCTGCTGTACTCTTAGACAAATTTATTTAAAAGCGTTATTAATGAGAGTTGTTAATATTTTTGCATCTAAGCTTTTTCTAGAATTTATTTTTTTCTTCTTACCTATTCTTGATAATTATTTTAACTGTTTTATTAAAGCATTTGGTTTAGTTGAGAAAACATCGGCTGGGTAAATCGTGTATTTATGTTAACACTTTTCAGTTTTGATCATTATAATGATTTTTGTTGACAACAACTTAGAAATAAATGTTATGCTTAAATACAGCTTTAAAATTATGCAACTAATAAATAAAGCGGTCAATCTCTGTGAGTTGATGACGGTTCAACAGATCTTAATGTAAATTTTGAAAAAAATTCTCTCAAAAACTACAAGTTATGCGATACTAAAAAACGGTATCTGAACGACGACTGAGATTAACACTGTCCATTGCCGATATGTTCAATTAAAACACAGCAAAGTTGACTGTGTATGCTCTTTTTTCTTTTAAATGAAACCTGATCGCACAGCTAAAACTTACTAACAAAAAAAACCTTACTAAATTGAAGTAAACATTGCAAAAATCTTTTGGTTTTTAAAAGTTTTTTAAATCTAAAAAAGTAGAAAAAAATTTTTTTGCATAAACTTAGAGCGAGACAAAAAAAAACGGGGGCATAAAGGAAGTTTAGATGAGTTGTTGCTGTTGTGATAAAATAAACAATTAAGAGTGAAATAAAAAGGTGAAACTGATTTGAGATCTGTTGTGGTAAACGTTCATTTTAAAAGTATTTGTAATTCAACTGCACTTTACATCATTATGGTTTTTTTTGTAGTTGTTGTCGAATCGCTGATACTGTTATGTCCGTGTTGTATGTTGGCACTTGCTCTATGACCATATCTGTATAAACCAATATTTTAGGAATTGTAATTTTTGTTTTTGGTAGAAACAACCTTTTTTAGTAGTAGTATTTTTTTTTTTTGTACATTCCAGTTGATAATTTGATGATATTTGTTGTTGAAATGATGCAGTGGTTTCTTCTCTCTTTTGTTTTTTTTTTTGATGAATATAATTTGTATTCAAATTTTAGAAAAATTTAGAATTTTTTTGGTTGACATTGATACATGAATTTAGTTCAATTTTTGTTCAACAAATTCAATGTTATTTTCTGCTCATAAACGCTATTTTGAGCGGTACTAATGGAGAAGGCAGCAACAGCATAAAACTTTCGCAAAAAAATAGTCTTTTTTCTTGACTTTTTTTTTTTCAGATTTATTTTTCAGAAAACAGCTATTTCATCAAATAATTTTTTCTTGCTTTGATAATCCCTTTTTTTTGCGCAATATTTGTTCTGCATTACAGTTTTAACTCTTCTTTTTTTGCATTCACTGGTTAAGATACTGTAATGAATATTTGATTCTAGAAAACATATGTTATCTATCAAGTTTGGTATAGTTTCTGGTTTATGGTCAGCCATAAAAATTACATTAAAATTAGTTACAATGACAATTTATTATTGCGATTTTTAAAGTAGCAAGCAAAAAAAGAACCACTCCGGAGAAGATGACTATAATTTAGCATTTTTATAGGTTATTTTTGAAAAATCTAAACCAAATTCAATAATCACTGATTACGAGACTGATAAAATTAGTTTTTTCTTTGTTTGCTTGAACCATTGTTGTAAACATACTGAAAAGTTGTCTTATAAACTTGGTATTTTTTTTTTGTTTGTCACAATAGCACTGATCTAAAGAATAAATAAAAGAATTATTTTTTTAGACAAACAACGAAAAAAAAATTTTTTTATTGTTTATAAACAAATGAGAATATCAAAAGATCAACAATCAACGACGCACTATCAGAATAACCTCCAAGAATTTCTATTAAAAAAAAATATGAACTTGCCAAGTAGTTTTTTTTCTTTACCTGCACTTTTATCAGTGCTTTTTAAAAGTTCACTAACAGTTTAGTTTTTTTTGCTAAAAAACTTAAAAAATAGGCAATTTATTTGGTTGTTGTTTGAAATATACAGACACGAAGTATACTGTACATTTACTGAAACCTCTGTTCTCCAGTATCGGATAAACGCTGTTACAGTCAATTGTTCACTAATATCTGTCTGATAATTTCCTGTATAATTTGCGTAAGGATTCTGATTTGTTAGATCGGTTATACACTAAAACAAAACGAAATTTTTGAAGTGAACACTTTTTTTGTCAAAACTTGTTTAGATTAAGATTTGAACATAGATTTGTCACGCTACTGGTGTAAATCTGCTAAAACAAATCAGTTGAATCTAAGCATTTTTTAAATGCTTCTTTCGAACTCTTTATCACTATCGGCGTAATTTCCGGCCAGATATGTCTGTTTTTTGTCTAACCAGTTTTTCTAGCTAAACTTGATACAAAGGTTGACCAGTTTAAATTATAGTCTATCAAAAAACTGCTATAGAGTTACAACAAAATTAAACTAAATTATAATGAGCAATAAGCATCAAGCAACAAACTCAAAACTTCATAAGTGTTTTATGATTAAGCAATATAATCCAGGCTTTTTTTTG